GGTCAACAATTAAACCTCTCAGAACTCATCCCTGCTTCCCTTGTCTCTGCATCTGGGTCCTCAAGCAACCTCACCACCCACTGTTGACACCCATACCTTTATACATATAAACTATATACAATTCCTTTATATATAATATATATATATAAAGTATATGAAATATATATTAAATGAAAAATTCAAATGTTTTGAATATTCCACTTGAGAGTATTACTGCTGCCACCATCTGTATTAGAGGGAAAAAATGTTAGGGGTGGCCAACTATTGGCTAAGGGTGGCCATGGCCACCTCTGGCCCCCCATCTAGCTGAGATCCTGTTGGTTAGGCCAGATAACCACATTTAAATCTGATTACAACATGCTTTTCATGAACAGCTCCAATTGCACCAAAAATGAGTGTTAACCAAGTTAAATGTATAAACTAGAACCCTTTTCTTTGCTATGGAAAATCCAACCAAATCATTTGAAATAGTTTAGAACTAATCACAACAAATATTAATCACTATCTGAAGAAAGCTTCTATTGTTTGGGATACTATAGTATTTAAATCAGGGGTCATCAATCTTTTTAAGGCTGAGGGCAACTTCATAGGTACTAAGTCAATGGAAGGGCTATATATACTATATATACTGAGCTATGAACTGGAGGGGTCACTGCCCACCTAGACTTGATGCATAATTAACACATTTTGAATGTTTCTTTTAATTTCTCATTTTCTTATAGACATTGCCATTTTGAAATGTCTATAAATGCTTTATTGCTCTATAAATGATTAAAAAAAAATGACAGCAACAGAATAAAATATATTTCCAATTTAGCCTGCTGGTAAGTTGGGCTGTTTCAGAAGATGGTGAGGGCACCCCATATGGTCTCCAGGGTCCCTTGGTGCCTGCAGGCACCACATTGGTGACCCTTGATTTAGAGCTACGTACAGTTTGATTTTTATGCATTTATTATTGAAAGTAAATTCTCTGTACTAATCAAAAAATCCAGATTTTTTAACTGCAGCTATTCAAAGGCATTCTTAGGAACTAGACCATCAGCACCCCTGTCATTGTAAAACCTAGCAACAACATATATAGCCAAACACCAGGTAATGTTAGCTTTCATCAAGAGTGGTAGCCCACTTTTTCCAGTCCTTTGACCTAATTTATCTGCTTTCCTACGTTAGGTGACATCAGGTATTTTGATGGAACTTAATTTCTATAATCAGTTATTAATTCAAAATATTCATTAACTGAATTATTTAGTTCATGCAACATTTGATGTGCATGTACTTCCTGCAGAGATTAGGAGAGCCCACCCATCCTCACCACCTTCTACAGAAGCACCATAGAGAGCGTTCTGACCAGCTGTCTCACTGTGTGATGTGGAGGCTGCAGCTCCTCAGACTGGAAGAAGGTGAGAAGAGTAGTGAGAACAGCAGAGATTATCATCTGGGCTCCTCTTCCCTCCATAAAAGACATTTCATCCTACTGCTGCGTGTCCCGAGCCCGTAACATTATCAATGAGCCATTAAACCCCCCCACCATGGACTGTTCTCCCTGCTGCCCTCTGGGAAGAGGCTTCAACGCTTCCAATGCAGGTCCAGCAGATTCCAAAACAGCTTCCTCCCCACTGCCATCAGACTACTGAACTGTTGAAAAAAACTCTAAATCATGTCACAGACTGCATTAAACTGACAACACCAAACCAAAACCCTGCATAATTGCACCATATATATTTAATGCTCTGAAATTCCATGTCCATGAGTTTTTTTGCACCATGTCTTTTTTCTCAATGGGTTTCTGAGCAGAGAAGAGCATTTGTTACATGGGTAAGTCATTTAGAGCTACCATGAGAAATTTTCAGTAATGCTAATGATCAGACTGCTCCTCCCACTGCTTCTCCCCCCCAAAAAACACAGAAGCCAACAAAACAGCAACAAAAATAAAACAATACAGAGGTTATCTTGGTACAAAATGGCTTATGCAACAGCCACATCCCCTTTGTCAAGTGATATTGAGGTTTAATTACATTAGAAATCCA